GGCTGCTAGGATTTTAATTTAGGTTTCGAGGATTTTGGAGATTCTGGGTTTAGATTCGGGTTCTTGGGGTTATGATTAAGGTTCTTGAGGGTTTCTACAAAGATTTGGAAAATTTTTTAGGTTTTTGGGATTTTTCTAGAAAAAATTGGATTTTTGGATGAATATTTGGATTTTTTGGTTAAATTTTTCAACGAAGTTTGGGTTTTTCGGCTAGATTCTAGCTACTTTTTTAGAAATTTATGGGTTTTTTCAATTTTCGATTGAAGCTCTTGACTTTTCTAAGGAAAAGTCAGAGCATTTCAAAGGTAGAGAGAGAACAATAGGCGTATAAGAAAAACGGCTGAAAATTGGCTTTTATAGGGTTCCAAAACGACACATTTTTAGAGAAACTAGATTTATGCATAACCCGACTAGGATCTGTGCTCCACCTGTGGTCCAACCCGACCCACCCGATCGTAGGTTTTCTTTTTTCCATTTTATTTTTATTTTTTTATTTTTTTTATTTATTTTATATTTTGAATTTTTTTAATTTTATTTTGAATTTTTTATTATTTATTTTATCGACTTTTTATTTTTACTGAGCAATTTATTATTAGTCAAATATTTTATAAAATTCTATTTTTATTAAAAAAGGACACAAATAAAAGAAAACAAAAAATAAAGAAACAAAATAAATATAAAAAAATCTTTTCTAATAAATTCATGAATTCTATAAAATTAATGGAGAATTTTCATGGATTTAAATTTTATGGAATCCACCAAACTATTGAAAAATTTCATAAATCAGTTTCCAAAAAGAAATATTTTTATCCTACCAAACTATTGAATGATTGTTTCTTAAATTAAGTCTTACTAAACTATTGAAAGATTTAATAAATTTTTTCTAAAAAAAATAAAATAAAATTTTATAAACACTTTTACAATAAAATCTCACCAAACAATTGAGAGATCTACCTTAAAATAAGTCCTACCAAACTATATTTGGAGACTTTACTAATTTTCTTAAATAAAATACTATAATAAATCTGATGACAGAACCTCTTCAAGGTGGGACACTAGTCTTTATGAATACTCATGAGGTAAGAGAATTATCTTAAATTGCTACCAAACTATTGGGGTAATTTTAAGATTAATTTTCAATATTAAATATTTTGGTAAATCGCAAACATGTTTAAAGCTCAGATAATTTGAAACCAAACTGCTACCATCTTTTGATAGGTGTTATGATGGCGTTATAACCTTTCACACATAACCGTACTTCTGAACCTAAAATCTAGTTTTGTGTATCAGAATCTACTATTTAAAGATAATTAAGTCAATCTTGAGACTTTTCTTTAAATAGGATAGATTTAAGCAGGTGGCTAATCACACCTAAACAAAAAAGATTGGTAGCAACTCCCTCTAATCCATGTCTAACGGTAGGTCCATGGATCTATATGTTATGACACATATATGCATCCAATTACTCACTGTGTTTTAGTCATTTTCATTTAGGTAACGCATTTCATTCTAGTAGTTTAGATTGTCATGCATTTTAGTAGTATAAAGTAGTATAGGTCAAGAGCATCTAGTTTCTTTTTAGGTTAGTTTAACACATCATTTACGTTGCTTATGTCAATGCATTTCTATTCTATATTATTTAGGTTTTCATGCCATTTTGAAATTTCTTGTTTAATTAATTGTTCATATCATGCATTTAATTTGTTTTATTTTAATTTCATGTCGATAGGTTAGATGTTAATTTAGAGCATTGCCTTAGGTATGTCATAACTTTTTTTAATGGTAAGTCATTAGTTGTTTAAATTTCATAATTCGTTAGTAATTAGGTTAATTTTAATCACTTAATTAATTTTAGAGATGTTTTAGTAAATTTTAGTTTTAAAATAAAATTCCTTTTCTTCATAACCTGATATAGCTTATGTGTTCAATTTTGATACTTAATCTTAGGTTAATCCCAAATTCAATCTCTATAAAGATGATACTCAAACTTACCTACTATATTACTTGAACCGCTTATACATTCATGAATCATTGTCATCAATTATTCCACTAAAACTCTTTCTAACCAAAATTCCCCCGTAGCCAAGACCGCTCTCCTTTCCAGTATGCCTTATTTTATTTTATTATTATTATTTTTTTACCTTTTGTTTTTGTGTCTCAAAATTGTCTATTCTTTTGTGTTGCTGAATTTTTCTTTTATAATGTAAATCTTATTAAATAAAATTAGGGTTCCAAAAATTGGTGAAATTTTAATATGCCTCATATTTGAATTTGTTTAAAATTTTGCCTCTAATATTTCCTTGGATTTTTTATTTTTTGCATTTATGGCAAATGTCAGATTTTTTTTCTTTGTAAAGATTTTTCAAAATTTTATTTAATAAATTTTTTTTATTTTTATTTTTTATGTTATTGGATATTATTTAAAATAAATAATAAAAATATTTTTGTTTTATACATGTTGGCCCAATTTAAGCTTCAAAGACATAATTAGTGACTAAGTTATCAAATTGAAAATTAAACTCTAAACTTAGAAAAATAAAAAAAAACTATTAAATACAATGATAGTGAAGTTTTTATATGTAACAAGTAGCATTAAGAGAATGATACGTACTGCTAAGGATATATTAAAAAAAATTAAAAATAGAAATGACACATGTGATAATATTTTAACACCACTTGTGAATTTAAAAAATTATACTAATAGTGTATCAAATACAAACTCAAAATAAAATTTAACGTTAAACTAGAGTGCCAATTTAGTTGTAGTCCAAATTAAAGCTAACTCATATTAAATAAAAAGGCTTAAAAATTAAACTAGTAATTGAAAATAGTTTATAATTATCCTAAACAAAATAGAGTATGTACATCAGTTAGCAATTAATTTTTAATAGAATGCTTGTTATAAATTTTAAAAATATGGAGTCTAAGATTTTTTTTTTAAAGAAATTTTCAAGAAAGATGAATAGAAGCTTGATTCCCAAAATAAAATTTCAGGAAGCAAGACAAATAGAAGCTTGATGGCTAAATTGAATGTAGGTACGAAAATTATTAGGATCAGATCGGATTAAATTTGATTAAGTTTTTTAAATAATATATAGTATTATATAGATTTTTAAAATTTATCAATTCAGTTTGATTTGGTTCATCGATTTTTAAATTTAAATTTATTATTTTTTATATTATTTTAATATAATTTTGATATCTTTAAATAGATTTAAATATAAAATAGTTATTTTTTTATAAAATATTTAAAAATTATATAAATTAATAAAAATATATATTTGGATTCAATTTAGATATTTTCAATTTTCTCATTTCATGATCCAAAATTTGATATAAAATATTTAATATTTTAACTTAAACTAATTCGAACAAAATAACTTATTCAAATCAAATCAAAAATTACAATTTAAAATCTATTTAGGATTTTCCTTCTTATTTTTTTCTCACTTTTAGGTAGCATTTAATATTTTTTGTAAGATCACTATGGTAAGGTAATTAGTAGGGTGATCTTATTATTAAAATTATCTTACTACTCGTGATTTGAAATTACTATATTTGATTAATAATAATTAATTTTTAAGAATTAAAAATCATTGCATTTGATATTACTAAAAGCCAAATATTTTTTTTGTGTAAAAGTACAAAAATAATTATGCATATTGTAATAATTATAAAAATTAATAATTTTAAGGTTATTTACAGATAATAATTAGTAAACTATTAGTAATATTTATTTATTTTATAATAAAATATAATTAAATTATTAAATTAATAAATATATTTATTAATAAGTAAATTTATTTTTATAATATAAATTATGTAAAAAAATATTGGAATTAGAAAATAAAACCAATTTATCAAATTCATAATAATAGAAAAATAAAAAAATTTATATTCTATATAAAATATTTAAAAAGAAAAAAATATGCAAATTATCTTAAATTTGTTATAATAAATATTAGTTTAAAAATATAAAAAATTATAATATAAAATAATTACAATTTTAAGATACGATAAATTTTTAATTTATATATTAAATAAATAAAATTAATTATTATTAATTTTATATATTACTTCACTTCATTAATAAAAATTTTCTATCATTTTATACAAAAATTAAATCATTCTCTCAAATATTAATCTAATTACTTGTAGTAATCTAAAATCACTATCATATAAAATTATCAACACTTATCAAATATAATAACATAATTATCATATATAAATCAATAATGATTAACTTTTACCAAATATTACTCCTGTACGGCCATAATGTAATTGGTAGTGGAGATGCTGTTCAAATGACAGGAAAACGACATAAGTCACGACCCGCGCACAAGCTCCCAGACGCATACGTCGCCGTTGAAGTCGTCCCTCTAAAAAAAAAAGTATAAAAGAAAAGAAATAATAGCCTCCACTAGTTATACAGATATATAAAAACCAATGTGTCATTTTGTTAACGTGTGGGGATACAGGAATTGGCTGTCCACGTCAGAAATCTGCTGGTGGGGACTGTGTAAATTATGAGCATTTACTTCTCATCTCTATGATTCTCTCTCCAGTATGTGTTTAATGAAATTTCGGTTTTGTTTTTTCTTATATCATTGGACGTTGCTGCACGCTCTTCGTATAGATTTCTTGTACGTAGTTTATCACATTTTTTTTAATGAAATACAACTTTTCTCTTGCCTTGGACACTACTTAAAAAGTAAGTAGCAAAAGAAGGTTAACAGAGAAAAAGGTTGATGTAATTTTCCACTTTGCACCATGCTACGAGTTTAAAATGCCCATCAACATTCAGAAGATGAAAAGTGTGGACATCCTTAATTCAACATTGTATTAATAAATGCATTTATCTTCCGAAGTCGTATTTGACCATACTAATTTCTTTCAAGTTGACTTGTATATCTTTTGAGTCTTCCATTGGCGATTGGCCAACAAAAATTTTATCTTCTTCCATGGGCAGATTTATAAAATGCCAATAAATAGATATATAAAGCAGTTAGAACTTTGCAACATAGCCTTGGCTATGCAAAAAAAAATGGCAGAGAAATTTACCTTCTTTCTTTTAGCTATATTGCTTCTGTTAATGGGGAGCCCTGGCCAGGGTCGACCTATTACAAGAAACACGACCCTTTCCATGGTCTCTGATGGAGCCCAAAATGTTTGGCAGCCAACATACATCCAACTCAAAAGCTTAATATTGTTGGATTCATGTGAACAGACCTATGGATTTTTGCCATGCACCACCACAGTCCTTGGAAATGTTTTCCTCATCCTTGTTTATGGTTACCTGATGTTCCGGGCAGCCAAGTTGTTGTGTGATGGTTGTGAAATATTGCTGGAAATTCTTGGTCCTGGTATCATTGGTGGTCTCTTCTTGCCTGTGCTCAGCTCTCTTCCTGATGCTATTATCATACTTGGTAAAAAAAAAATTTACTTTTTCAATTTTTTCTCCCCCCAAAGTTTTTTCGTGTTCGTTGTTCATGTACCAGCAAAACTGTGTATTAAGTTCCAGCATTAGGGTAATAATTCACAAAATCTTATTAAATTTGCTGGGTTTTTTCCAACTGCAGCGCCAAGAAAAAGCTTGCGCCTTTGGGGTCAAGTAGACATAATTTTTTACATCCTTTGAAGCCTCAAACAGCCCTAGTCAATTGGTTAATGTCATTTATAATTTTTACCCCTTGTTTTGAACAATCATAGGCTAACTACAGATTTATGGAGGAGTATGCTCCATCCAGCAACTACAATCATGTTAGACTCAATTGATTATCCGTAAAGATGTACTTTGAGCGGCTAATATATATAGTAATTTATGATGTTTCAATCTGTAGCGTCTGGACTTTCTGGGAGCCGAGAAACTGCTCAAAGTCAGGTCTCTGTTGGCATAGGCTTGCTAGCAGGTTCAACCGTCATGCTTCTTACAGTGCTGTGGGGCTCCTGTCTTATACTTGGCAAGTGTGATCTTGAGAGTTCTCTGTCCACAGATCCAAAAGACACAAAAGGATTTAGCTTAACTGGTATACATTATGATTCACTAACCAAGACTTTCTTCTGTGAATATGCTCTGGTTTGCTGGTGCGTGTCCAATTAATTTCTGTACAGCATTGTCTTTGATGACGACTGGAGATGCTTGCAGGATCTGGTGTGAGCACTGATATTTGGACAAGCTATGCTGCAAGGATAATGGCCATATCTGTTATCCCATTCATAATTGTGCAATTACCAGATGTTTTACACTCAACTTCTCAAAGTAGAATTGCAATTCTGATTGCACTCATTGTCTCCATTTCTTTATTGCTTTCTTACAGTCTTTATCAGGTACGTAAACCTGGATTCGTTATTGATCCTCAAATATTTTGTTTACCGGCTTTCTTCTGTAACTGTAACCATGACCAGGCATACAGCTTTTTCGATGGTTACCCTGTTTGCAATCTTTGTTTGTACTGTTGATGCAGGTATTTCAGCCATGGATTCAGAAGAGAAGAATCGACTTTGCAAAGCATAAGCATGTAATAGCAGGACTTTTGAAACACTTAAGCGTTCGTGCACTTGGAAGACTTCTTACAGATGATGGCGAACCTAATACAACTGTTATAGAAAGGTTAGCCATAAGCACAAATGCGAGTCACAGTTTTTCGTTTAAAATGTTTAACATCCAGAATAAAGCTTTATCAAAATTTGGACTCTTGATTACTTGATTTGCAATAGATTACAAAATTCAAGTACTGAATGAACTCAGTCAAACCCTGCCTAGTCTTTTAAATCAACATCGATAATTACTGCAATCTGGCCTGTTCATTGATGTAATGTAACGACAGGCTATTCATGATGATTGACGAGAATGGTGACGGACGCCTATCACCGGCGGAGTTAAGAGCTCTGGTACTTGGAATCCGATTTGAAGAGATAGATATGGATATAGAAGATGCTGTTGAAAAGGTGATGAAAGAGTTTGATACATCTTGTGACTCATTCATTGACCTAGATGAGTTTGTGAGAGGAATCTCAAAATGGCTAATTGAGGCTAAGCGATCTGCTGTGAAGCAGGGAAAATTAATACATTTACATCATTTTCACGAGGTATGAGTGTTTTTAACTGCTTCTAATTATAAAATTATCCCTCCATTATTGGCATTTTTTTTTCCGTGGGATGACCTCTTTCAAAACATACGCAGCAAACCAAGAAAGAACACCATCTGTTGGGGGATCATGGTGGTCATTACGGGGAGACCGTGAAAAATCCAGTGTGGAATACCTTCAAAGCGGGGATGATGTTGCTTCTTGGAACGATTGTAGCGGCTGTATTTGCAGATCCTCTGGTGGATGCTGTTGACAGCTTCTCCACTGCCTCAAGCATTCCTTCTTTCTTTGTTTCCTTTGTCATTTTGCCCATTGCATGCACCAGCGAGGCCGTTTCTGCACTGAATTTTGCCGGACGGAAGAAGTTAAAAACAGCATCTTTGACGTATTCTCAGATTTATGGGTCTGTGACCATGAGTAACATCCTTTCCCTCTCTGTATTCTTAGGCCTGGTTTACTTTCGTGACCTGACCTGGGACTTTGCTGCTGAAGTGTTGGTTATTCTGATTGTGTGCATTGTTATGGGAGCAATTGCCAGTTTTCGCACCACCTTCCCTCTTTGGATGTCTTTAGTGGCCTACGCACTCTATCCATTCTCACTCTTACTGGTCTACATTCTCGACTATGTTTTTGGATGGTCTTAACTAATTAAAACTCATCTTTTGCATTCTAACAAGAAGTTCAATAATGGAGGCTGCCTGCGGGCTTACTTCAGTTATGCCCGACCTCTTTGGAGGCTGTAATAAAAGTGTTGACCTTTGCGTTTGGCTATTTCTTATTTTCTAAATAAAAAGTATTATATTTTGACTTTTCTTTCTTTCTTTCCTTTTCCTTTTTTCTTTCTTATTCTTTCTCTCCTCCGTTCCAACCACCACGCCATCTGCTATGAAAATATATATATATATATATATATATATCTCCAAACATCTCTCAGGGGAAATTCTATACAGTGCTTTTTCCACTCCTTATACCCATACCTAACCCATGTGCTAAGTACATTTACATTTCAAACATTTCCATACATTAAAATTTACTAATGTATGAATAATCAGTATTTATCAATTGATGAGCCTCATGGCATTCTTAGCTATTTCGTTTTTTTTTTTTTTTAACTTTGTATTTCCAACATATCCATATATTAAAATTTACTAATATATAGATAAACAATGTTTATCAATCGAGGTCACATCACCTCCATCACCTTGCCACGTTACCATATCACATAATCTTTCTATGATACATCATCACATCATTGTTATCACATCATTTTGTCACATCCTTTTCAATAAAAGAAATTAAACCTTTAACCATGAAAATTTTTTGGTTAAAAATTTAATTTGTCAATAAATCGCATTATCGATGGTAATTTTGATGAAAATTTTGGACCAAAAAATTTGTAGCTAAAGGCATTTCGTTCGCTGATAATCGGATAACTTTTAATAACAGAATTTTTTATTGCTAAAATCATTTTCAACAAAAATAATTTTTGTAAAAAATACTTTTAACATTGAAAATTTTTATCGATAATTTATAAAATTCCACCACTAAAAATAATTTTCACATAAATTATTTCCTTCATTAAGAGAGGATGGATATTTTGCACAAAAATATAATAAATACTAAATATAATATATTTCTTGAATTTTTGCATAGATATAAATATAAATATAAAATATAAATGTAAATGTAAATTTCTAGCTATTCAATATTAGTACAATGATGCATACACTCTTTACATCTTCCATGATTTGACCAACCACAGACAAAGACAAAAAAGCGTCTTATGAGTACATATTCAATACTAACATAGATAGCCCCATATCCAAATTGCACCTAGACTCCAGTCAAACAGGCACTTAATTATCCCATAAGCAGTTTTATCTTTTTGGTTCGATTTTAACAATCCCAAGGAAAAGATTAGTATCTTTAATATCTGGGTGGAGAGTTTTTGCAACCTCAATGTTGTTTGCTTCATCAACTGGATTTCATTGCTAGAGGTTGTTGCCTTTGTAAATGCTTCATAATTAGATTCCTGCAACAATTCCAGGATAAGTACATTCCGAAGTGCATTAGCAAAATTGAGACGCTAGAAGACATTTAATTTATAAGATGTTAAATATTACCCATGCACCTTGGAAGATTAGGATATAGAAGAAGAAATATCAAAATAAAGGATAAAAAATATGAATTTCAACGATTTAAAAGCCTATAATTGTAGCCCTACTTGGCATATAAGAAATTGAGCAAAAAGAAGTTGTTTGTAGATATAGTTAACATCTCAAAAGAACATTCCAGAAATCAAAAGCAAATTAAGACAAGGTTACACCTAATAACTTCAAGCAAACAATTATCAACTTCCACGTTAGATGTGGCTATTACATTCTTTTTAAGTTTATACTGGACCAACTCAACTTTAACTCCAGCAGAAAGTAAGCTGAAAGCAAAAGTCTACAACTAATTGGCTCTGTTTAGCTCATTTTCATATCGAAATCAAAACCTTAAGAACATATTCCAAATTATATTAGTAAAATGAATGATCTGTAAAAAAATGTATTTGCATCTATCTTACACATGCTAAATTGGTAATTTACTTGTGATATTTGTTTAACAAATAGAATCTAAAGAATAACATTAGTTCCCAAATATTTGAAATCTGGTTACATTCAAATTCTTAAAACTTTTAAATACTTATCAATTATATTAGATAATTTGAAAATAAAAGGCACTATATTATGTCTAGACAATTTCCAGTGACAACTATCTAAGTGTGGGTTTGCATCACTTTAATTGTGCGACAGAATCAAAACCAAAATTTCTAGGAACCAACTGTTTTGGAACAATGCATAAATGACTACTTGTAAGCTGACCAACCTGATCAACCACAAACTGGATTTCCTGCTTCTATACACAATAACACTAAAACAAATCCCATACACAACATGATCAACCACAAACTAGATTTCTTACTTCCAAAACGGATCATCCCATTTCAAGCATTTCAAGTGACAGAACAACAAAACTTACCGTTCCTTACAACAAAACAATAGCTTTAGGGTCTGACCTTGCAACCTGAACTGTAAGTCTAAGGAAAAGGCTCACTAACATGAAAATTGGCGAAATATTCTCATGCATTCAAGTTGCAAGAACAAATCTTCCTTCCGGCCCACTTGCAAATAGATGTTAAGCAATTTTACTATCAAAATAGTGTCAGGCTGCTGAAATCTATTGAAGTAGGAACTAACTAGCCATATCAACCTAAATGATCAGCCAAGAACCAAGCATGTTAGAATGGCTAACTAGCCAGAAAGCTAGTCCAATCTGCTTGAGACAAGGCTTTGTGGGCAAAACCAAAAGTAAGTTCTTGTCCCTGAAACATACAGTTAAGTATGGTCAACCTAAATATAATCAACCTATACCATGCAAACCAACCACTTTGAAATAGTGGAGTAAAGAACACGCCTGAGCAGAGGGAAAGGCATTTCCAGGCTTGACAAGTGAAGAAGCTTTCCATGCCTCCTTCAAGTAGGATTTCAGTAAAGGTACACGTAAGAACTGCTCTGTAAGCTCAAATGCAAAAGCCAGGTTAACTGCATCAATCTGCCTTCCATTATTCACCAGAACTTCAATTACACCTAAAATATAAATAATAGAAAAGATAAATAAAAGAAAAGGAAGTAAAAATTAACTAGAAGTAGTATAATTGAGAAAAATGGTTGATTTTCTACAACAGTATTCCAGATGTTTAACCCCACACTTCTTATTTTAAGAGCTATAGTAGTAGTTCTATTTAAGGTAGGAAAAAAAATATAGTTTAGAATTTCTTCTCTTCATTCCAAACAATTGATACCAAAGGAAACCTATCTACAAGTGCCATTCATAGGTCATCCAAAATGCATGATGGTCCACTCAACTCCAAAATAGCATTCCAACAAAGATATTGTTTCAAAAATATCTAAACTTAAAAGCCTTTAGGAACTTTAGGAAGATGCCTATCAGTTCAAGACCAAAGATGAGTTTTCCAGGTGCCAATGGTTGGAAGTTATCTGCGTTAAGGAAATAGGAAAAGGTAGTTAATTTACTAGATCTCACTTGACATGGTTAGTCATTTTAGTTTTACTAAAATGCAAAGGAAGAAACATAATTGATAAATGGAACGTAAACCAAAGGATAAATAGAGATATCATACTCAGCTGTCAGAATCATTGTAGTTTTCAATATATTAGTACGATTTCAATGATGGAAAAGAAACTACTGGTTTACCAAGTGACTTTCAATTATCAGCAACAGGGACTTAGGGTTCAATCCACCACGACAACAGCTGCAGAACATGCTTTGACTATAAATTTAACTAGAAAGCAGGCAGTAAAAAAAAAAAAAATTTTTGAGTTGTATAATATGGTTGACAAAACCTTGATATAAGATGAATCTCGTATCTGATTTTAACACTAGGTTTACCATTGATTGGCCATTTAACAAATATCATCTAAACAATTTTTCAAGAGGAATCAATTAACTGTTATTACTTATCTTGATGCTATTCGAAAATTATTAACCACATTTGCAAGTTAATAACTCTCTTAGTAGACATGGACCCGCAATTAATAAAATGATAATTTATAGATTGATTATACTAAAATTTTAGTGATTTATCATAATTTTTTAGATCATTTTATAGTAAATATTTGCTTGTTTCTTGAGAAATTTGACAAAAATATTTCTAATTGTTTAAATATTAAATGTAAAAATAAAAATATGAGAAAAGAAGAAAAATAAAGCTTTTGAACTAATTTTGGATGCATTTTGGTGCAAAAAGCTATAAATTATCGAAACTAATGTGAACTTACTTCAAAGCCATGCTTAAGAGATTTTCTTACCTTTTCTTTCATGGCTTCCTTTACTTATTTGAGCTTAATTGAACTTTAATTCAAGCTTTAATCTTCATATTTTCCTTGTTTAAATATTCTTTTTAGCGCATTAAGTGTTTATCACTTTTGTAGTAGAGATGCATGAGCTAAATAGGTGTATGTCTTTTGCATTGGTGAGGTTTTAAAGCTACATTTGGAGCTAGAAATTTACAGAATTTTGCATGATCATATTGGCAACTAAATGGCTTTTATTTGGCTGGAATTTGAAGAAGAATGTTTGTTACAATTGGCACCTAAAATGGGAGCAAGGATCAACCAAAAACGTTAGATGCATTGTTGATGATCATGTGTCATTGACACCAATCCTTAGATTCAAAGAGAAGGCAATAAGCAGCTATTTAGTATAAACACTTAATTTTATTTAAGATATTTTATTTTTTTTAATTAAGATTTGTTTCATAATCAAATCTCAATCATTAATTTTTCGAATTCATTAACAGTCCACTTTTAAATACTCCATAGGAGGTTCAATGTGGGCTTCGTAACGAGGCTTGTCACATTGGCCTAAATTAGTGTTCAAAATAGCTCAATAAAAGGCTTGATAACAAGTTTTTTTTTTAAAAAACACATTAATGGTTAATTGTTGGCCATAAAAAATTAATTAAAAATTTTAAATTTTTTAAAAAATAAAAAATTTAGAATTAAAAAATTTAAAATTAAAATTAATAATATAATTAATAATAAAAATCGAAACAACAAAAAGAGCTTGGGCCACTATTAAATCATAAGAGTCAATGAAATATGGCCCAATTAAAAGTCGAAGATGGACACAAAACATGACCCCAACCCAAGAATCAAACTTGAGAAGTCACATGAAAAGAAGACTAAATGGATGCATAACGAGAAAAGCTAAAGAAATTGAAAGCTGAAAATT